AATAACACATCTCCGCATTCAAGGTCAACTAGAAAGAGGCTGTTGAAGCGATGTGCCTAGGATTAGCCACGGCAGGATCTGGACGGCCAACACGTGCCCCCTCTTCACCTGACCTCTGAGACATCACTGCATTAAACAGCTGCTTCCAGGCTTAACCCCGGCAGGCGAAAAGGGAAGCTCTGCCTTTTCCCCATGCAGCAACGACAGTGTCTTCCCGAGACCCCAGGAATCGCACGGCATCGTTCCCAGCCCACTCCTTGGATGGCCACGAGTTGCCTCCGTCCCTCCTCCTGCTGCTCCGCAGGAGTCAGAGCCTCACCGGCTGCCTCCAGCCTCATTCACCGAGCTCAGCCTACACAGCTCTGTTTCTTTAGAGGTTCTGTTATTCTCCCAAGCTTCTAGGAGAGATGCAGTGTGACAAACACTAGACAGCGATGCCGCCCGATTGTAGCAAGGGGAAAAAAAAAAAAAGCTGCAAACATAGAAAATTATTTGTATTGCGATTGATGGCGCATCAATTGACCAGTGTTTCCATGGCAACACGCACCAGTATTGTGTTGGTCCTCCTCCTCCCCGGCAGCACAGCCAAGCTCTTTCATTTACGAAAGACTGCGGTACGCGTGGAAAGCACAGGATTCTGCGTGCCACACGCCCAGGGTTTTGTCTGCCATCGCCCAGCAGCCCCTCACCGCTGTCACCTCGGCGGTGGGTGACACCCAATGCTGAGCATCGCCGTGCCCCCAGCCCGACGCTCCCGCTCTGGCTCGGTACACCGGCACTACTACGGTGGGAAAGCCCGCTGTAAATAATTCATACCCTGACTTTACATAAGCACAGCAACACAAGCTCGCTGGGAAGAATGAATAGGGTGATTAATTCCTCTCCCTGCCGGAGGGCTGATTCCAACAGCCTTTGTTCGAGTGCTACAGACACATTAGTAGCACTGGTCCGCAGCGACTCCCGAGAGCTGCCTGGTTTCCAACAGCCAGGTCACTTCTTGCTTCCGCTGGGCAGCTCAGAGGAGGATGCCCGTGCACGTCGTCTGGCTCACCTTGCTGACAGGCTAACCAGGGAGGAGGCTTTTGCTCGCACGAAGAGCTGTGCGTGACACCAGTCTGCCCAAACCTCCCAAAGCAACTGTGGATCCGACTCAGGCTGGGTTACCGTCAAAGAGGCAATGCCCTCCAGGCCCCGCTGGGGCCGGCTCCTTCCCACCGGACAGCCTGGGTGAAGTACGTTGCATTTACACCTTATCCTGAACACAGATAAATACCACAGCAGCCAAAAAGCTGAGATTCAGCGAGCAGGTACTGGATTTTCTCTAGCTTGTTAACAGCAAGGGCTGTTAATTCCCTCTGGTATTGCTCTGTGGGCAGCATAACCTCCTCCATCTCCCTGATCTTATCCCCAGCGCTACTGGAATATCGAGATCTGGCAGTCGATTTTGCTTCAGAAAGGAGCAAAGCTGTTGTTCGCTATTAACGTTGCCCTCCAAACAAACAAGCCCTTATACAGCGATGCTCAGAGGCCGTGAAACGGGTAACCTGAGCCAGGTTAACCGATTTGCATAGGAAGGCTATTACAATGCTCTGATTAAATCTCCACAACCCTCCCACCACACTTTCCATTCTGACTACTAGGTCAGACTTTCCTTTCGCGTTCTTGCTACCCAGAATTGCAATCCAAGCCGAGTTCTAGATAAACTTTGCAGCACTTCTCTTAAGTTTCCCGAACAAAACCCTTTTCCAGGCAGCTTTGGCTTACGCTCAAATAGAAACCTAACAGAGTTCATCTGAAGGAAAAGAGAAAATGAAAGCAACACACAGATAACTATAAAGTCATCAAGCTTGGCTGGACTGACTTCTGGACAGACATTTCCTCACTTAGGCAACGGATAATGAGTCAACATCACTCCTCTGTGCCACGCACTCATGTCCTCACTGGAAAAAAGTGACCGTTTACGGTTCCTTCTTCCCCACCGTGGAAGCTGCAGGGTGTCCCCGTGCACTGTCCCCACAGCTCGCAGCGATACACGCGGCCGGGAAACTCCACGCTTCCCATTTGTGCAGGAAAAAAGCTTTCTTTTAAATTAGGGAAACGATGGCTCAGCTAACCCCCCCCTCAAGTCCTATCACTCATACGCGATTTGTCTGTATTTCCACAACCCCCAAGGTCAAATCCTAGTGCTCTAGCGAGGCAGTAGGGATAGACAGAGTGTTATTTTGGTACCCAAGGCCCCTAAACCGTCCTGAAGAGACTGCTGACAAGTGAGCAAAGAACACCTGCAGTGAGGGCTCTTCATGGGACTCTGCAGGACCAGAAGTGTGTATCAGCAGCAGCACTCCACTGGGGGTGAGCCGCCCCTCCCTGCGCTGTCCTGGGACCCAGCAGCACCCCAGCAGGACAGGGGGTGGGATGCCACCCCCAGGACCTGCTGGGGACAAGCAGCATCCCGCTGGGACAGCGGGTCCGGGACCATCCCAGCTGGGACGCCATCCCCAGCTGTCCCAGGACCTGGTGGGGACGGCCAGCACCCGGCCAGGGCGGGGGTCTCCCTTCCCTGAGCCATCCCAGGACGGAC